CAATATTTAATCAAGGTCACCCTCAAAATATCTCCTTTAGCTTCTGTGAATCAATTTAAATTTGCAGTTATTTTTCATTGTTCCTCCTTTCAGTTGGCTACCTTTTTAATTTGAAGAGTGACTGATTTAAACCGGTCCTTACAGAATATTCTTCAGCAGTGGATTGGATGAAAACTCTTATTCTGTTTTTTCAAAGAACCAGATTTTAATCTCGGTTCCAAAAATGTATCTGAGCGTGTTTCATTATCGTCCCTGCGTCTGTAACGCTTTTGTATGTCAGTCACCAAACGCTGTCCGACCTCGTGCTCATGTTTGGAGGGTTATTAAGTAAGGTGACGATGCGTCGTCGTTATGAATTATTCAACATTACCAGGACTGAAACATTAACATCATATCTCCTTTTAGGAAAGTTTAACCGAGGCGTGTCGGTTGAAACCAAGAAACAGACGTGGACTGAGATCACCAATCAGATCAACGATCTTGGAGAGAATCACAGAGAGGTTTGTTACTTCACTTTTTCATTTTGTGGTTATATTTCTGATTTCTGATCCGGTCTAAAAAAAGTTTAAGTTCTCCTTTTTGTTTCGCTAAGTTACTAAATGATGTGAACATATGTAAAGTGAGCTGTTAAAAGCATCGGTACAGTTTTCTGTAGCAGAAGGCTCAGATTTGATCATGCAGAGAAGTACAGGACAGCATTCTTTGCGTTCTCAGGACCTCTTTATGCTCTCTGTCCCAAACGCTCAGACAGAAATTGGGAAAAGGGCTTCTGGGTCCTCTGCACCCTCAGCCTGGAATCTGTTGCAGAATGACTTAAAGCTCAGGAGCTGGAGTCCTTAAATGTTTTAAATCTAAAATTAAAGACATGGAAGCAGATTCTGCAGGATGTCGATGTTTTAGCTCGGCTGTTTGAACAACTGATTCCCAGATATGACTCATAGATGGTTCTATTTTAATCCTAAATGTATTGTTTTGTAAATTGTAGGGCTGGGCACGTTAACTCGTTAGTTTCGCGTTAACTCATTAATTAATTATCGCAGACAATTATTTTATCTCGCATTAACGCAGTTTTTATGATTTATTTTCTTATTGTAAAAGTCTGTTGCTCACTGGCTTTTATTTTATAAAATTCCATCGTGAGCGAGCCTCGTATGTTGCTTACGCAGCTGTTGCCTGCGCATGACTGCTGCAGCGCTCACAGGAAACAGGAAACAGTCAGAAAAGAATTGGCGGATAATCAAGCATGGAGAAGTGTACAGAACTTTTACTTGGCCATTTTTATTTTAAAGTTCTTCCAGACGGCGCAGTCCACAGAGCCGAAGTTATTTGTAACCACTGAGAAGTTGAATTTTCTTATCAGCAGAGTATTTGATAAGTACTCCAAAATATGTTGCAGCCAGAAACTCAGACGGACGCTGAAAGGTCGTTTCACTTGTCTTCACTTTATTGAAGCGTTTAACAAAGACCCAGAACCTTCATTCACTCTGAGTCTCTTCAGCTGCTCAATAATAACGACAGCTTTCTTACTAACTCCAGAGCATCACAACAACAACACTCTTCTTCTCTGAACTTCTGCATGTCACTGTTTCTCACTCACAGACTCCACCTAGTGGCGTAGATTATGCAGTGCATTCAATTAATAACACGTCAACATCAACTGTTTGAATAATGTTGCAGTTCAGAAAAATACATTAACATGAGTAACTTTAAAGATGAATTCAAAAAGATTATAAACTAAAGAATTTCAAAATGACAAGTACAACAAAAATGTGTTTGTGGGGTCCTCGATAACCAAACAATAAACATCAATGTTCTCAACCTGTCACACTCTCCCCCACTTTAAAAAAGGCGTCCCGACACTTTCATTATACGTCTTAGCCTAAAACCTTTCTGGGCAGTTTTTTTTGTTATATGACAAACAGGATGACATTATGCCCTTGCAGCGGCAATAAGCTTTAGTTTTGTATTTATTTGCTTTGATTACATTGTTTAAGTTGAGAAGTACATTGACAACAAAAGTGTGCTATACACTACTTTTGAATTCGTTATTGGATTTTGCGTATAACAGTGCGATTAATCGTGATTAATCACAGGAACTGATGCGATTAACGCGATTAATACTTTTAATCGTTTCCCAGCCCTAGTAAACTGTACTGTGTCTCTTGTTGTGTTTCCGTCTGTAACTTTGTGTTTTTGCTGCTGCCTGTCTCGGCCAGGTCGCCCTTGAAAAAGAGGTTTTTAATCTCAATGGGACCAACCTGGTTAAATAACAAAAATAAAAATGTAGAAAGGATGTGTAGCGCTGTTGATTGAGGACTTTTTAAGGAGGGTTGATTTTCTCTCAGGTGCGTCAGATCATGAAGAAGTGGGCGGACCTCAAATGTGACGGAAAGCGACGCCTCTTAGCCCTCCGAAAGCCGGACAGCGGCCACCTCAGGAAGAGGAACATGGGCCCTGTGGAGAAGATGGTCCATAAGATCCTGATGATGAGTCCCGCAGGAAGTGAGCAGACGTTTGTCTTTGAAGCGTTGAGTCTTTGCGTCGTTTCTGCTCATTAATCATTTTGTTCTCCTCGCTGGTTCTCAGATGGCGACAGTGATTTCGACTTATGTGAAGACGAGGATTTTCCAAAGGCCTACAGCGCCACCCCGCCTCCGAACCCTTCGCCCTACTCCTACCTCAGCTTGACGGACAGTTCCCACTCTGTACCCGAAAGATTCTCCTTCGACATGTCGCCCCTCTCCTCGCCGGAGGACGAGGCGGGTGGTAAGTAGAGCTGGATGTAAAGAATATAAACGAGCCTGCAGCGACTACAGGACTGGACATTTAATCCAGCTGTAAGCTTGAGCGATCTGTTCACCTGACACGTCTACACAGACTGCTTGTGTATCCAAAGAGCTGCAAAAATAATCTATAGTGAGACCAGAGCCATTTCTTTAACGGATGCAACAAGAGTGACATGTTCTAATTTGCTTCATTTTACATTGTGTACAATGTTGAAAACCTGCTGAGTGAGAACAGTTGTTTCCAACGAGCGTATAATTATTGGCTGCCTGAATTGAATTTGTGAGTTAAGTTTCTTCTTTCAGCTGCTCTGTACACCGTGTCCACACTGCATCCAATCAATGTTTCTCTCTTTGACCTGTGAACAGTATAACATGTAGTGCTTTTATTTTGAAGGTGGACAAAGTGTGGGGCTTTTATTTGCGTGACATATAAATTTCATTTGAGAAGAAAGGCAAAGAAAATAGTGAAGAAGATGGAAGAAGCAGTTTGAAAAAGAAGCAGAAAAATATACTTAAAGTTGAGCATGAACAAGCAGGGAGACGTTTCAGGAGACGATGATACTAATGTGATTGTTAACATGCATTTTATTTTGCTTTCAAATAACTGACACGGTACAATTAATGTTAAATATTAAGAGGAATCTTTTGCTCTTTGTCGCTCCGGTAGAGGAGCTTTAAGAACTCGGAGAATAAAGGATTAAAAATATTGACTTTGCAGTGGTGAAATCAATCAACGTCAGCAGTTTGATTTTACGCCTGCTTTGTCTTTTTGAGCTCATTTTTGCACAATGTCCTTCTAATGCTGAGCTGAGTGTGTTGATGTGACACTGCTGTGTTTGTTTGTTTGTTTTGCAGGCGATCCCTTCCAGTCCTCCTCTGAGTTTGATGTCGACCTAGCTGAGGATGGAGGTAAGAAGAGGGGAATTACATTTATAGAGATTTGTGTTCAAATTCCACCAGATGTGGCCCGTCTCTGCTCCCCCAATACTTTATTCAATGTGTTTGAATCCACTGGCTCTGCTCCTCTGCGTCTCAGCTCCGTCAGTGCAGAGTCCTCCACAGTAGATACACAAGGCTCCTGTGTCTGCCACTGCACGGGGCATCAATTTACCACAGAGCAGATCGAGCGGGACAGGAAGTCAGACTCCAAACAACTTAAAACAGCCACTTTATTTTCAGAATAAAACATTCCGTTTTGATGGTTCACAACAATATCAGTGTTTGTGCAAGATTTCCGCTCTCTCCCTCGACTCTCTCGCTGGCAGCTCTGACCTGCAGCAGTTCTGCACGCTCAGCCTCAGCATCCACCTGTCAGATCCGACTCTGGGGTTTAAAATATCGTCCCATCACTCCTCAAACTTTGAGTGTTAGATAAAGTTGGACTTGCTGAGTTTACAATTTGCACAGTTTTTAAAAGCAATCAAGTTGTTTTTTCTGTGATGGTGGTTTTAAAATGCACTGACTCGTGTTCTCTCACTTAAATCCACCAGAACACTCCATGGATTTTGACGGCAACGAAGACTCCATGTTCTCCTCCTACCCTTCCTCTCTCCTTCCGCCCCCCTCCTCCTCCTCGCTGGAGAAGGACTCGCTGTCTGACACCCAGCTGAGAATCAAACCGGTCCACACCTATTCCCGGAACATCGGCCAGACCAACAGCAGCAACCACGTTCAGAACCACACCTCCTCCTCCAGACCGCCACCCGGACCCTCCTCATCTGTGGCCTCCACCTCCTCTGCTCTCCCTCCGGTGTCTGATTCAGACGCAGGCTCATCCACTGCTGTGCCTCCTCCACCGCTACCACCTCCTACAAGCTCCACTTCCTCTGCCTCATTTGTTCCCCCTCTCCCTCCCCCCTCTTCCTCCTCGTCCTCTACATCAAACTCGACCTCTCAAGCCACGCCCTCTTCCATCCCACCTCTTCCTCCTCCTGCTTCGACTTCAACCACTGCTCCCTCCTCCTCCAACTCTCATCGACCTTCCTCCTCCTCCTCCTCCTCGTCAACCATTCCATCTAAGCAGTCCCCCGCCCCGAGCTCATGTGACCCCCTCCCCGCCGGAGCCTCCTCCCGTCGGCCCCAAGACCACGTGTCCCAGATGGCGTCTCAGAGCCTCCAGCAGCAGCGTGCCAGCAGGATGCTCCTGACGTCGGTGTCTCAGTCTCTGGAGGTGCTGGCTCAGTCGGTGCAGCTGCTGGTGGAGAGCCAGCAGGAGTTTGTTCAGGAGTCTCTGCTGCTGCAGCGCGAGACCGTCGACGTCTTGAGGGATTTCTCCAACACGGCGCTCACCATGCTGAGAGACAAAGCCAACAGCGGTCAAGTGCCACGCCATCATCATCATCCTGCTTCTCACTACTGAAACACATGGACGAAAATAGTTTGGTTTTTTTAAAGAGACAACACAGGACGAGTACGGGCACCTACACGCACACTTCTTACCCGGCCCCCTGAAGTCCCAAAAGAGTGAACATTTTCATCTTGTGGACAAATTTTGTCATAATCTATACGACACATCAAATTATCTTGTGTTTGGAGTTATCTGGTGCAAACAAGTTAAGTAACAACTTGTTTAAAATGGTGTTCATCTTGTGCGCTCAAGTTATCTGATGTGCACAAGATAATTATCGTGTATGAAAATGTCAACTTGTGCGCACAAGTTCCTGTGAAAAGACGCACCTTTAATCTGTTTTTTTTTTTTCATCTAAAGTTTGCTGCGTCATATTTATAATAAGTATAAAAACGCTGACACATACGCTGTCATTACCGCGAGTGCAGACGCCATAACAACACACTGCACGCCAGGTAACACCATTGAGAATTCCTCGCCAGTCGTTGTGAATTGCAAGCTGGAGGGAAACATAGCGACACAGACGAGGCTGGCTACGTCCTTTCTCCCTCCCTCATGCATTTAAAGAAAACGGTGGCTTATTGATCCTTTTGATCGAAGGAGTCCTTTTATTAAAGTTAGAGAGCGACCAGCGGAGTCAGGTAGAGCGCTTGCCAGCTCGGCGTCTGTGCTTCACAGCTTTCACTGCAGGCTGAGCTCGACTACCGTACTGTAGCTAGTAGGAGAGCAAACTCCACAAAGAGAAAACAAACGGAGCTAACAGAAACTGACCGTTGTAGACGTCACTGAACACAACAGAAATTGTCACGCAGGAAGACAATTTGAGACTTTATTCTCTCTGGGAAACCTCCAAAAAGAGACTTATATTCTGTCTTTGAGATAAATAATAACTGGTATGTAATTATCATTTGTGCAAAAATGTATCTGCACACAACATAAGCTTGTTTGAAGTTAAGTTAGATAAATCGTTTGCAAAAGATATTTATCTTGTCTGAAACAAGTTATTATCTCGTGCTCTGTCATTATCTTGATAATTATCCTGTGGATGTCATTAGGTGTGAAGAAGAAATCTTGAGGGGAAACGTTTTTATCTTGTTCACGCGATGTCAACGTGTTCTGCACAGAAGATAAAAACCTGTTGATAATTACATTGTGACCACAAGATAATTACACTGTGCGCACTAAAATGTTTCTTTTCTTGTGGACTTCAGAGGCTGTTTTTCCTTTTCTGTTAGGAGTTGAAATATTTGCTCAATCAGATGAGCGATCACATGCGGTTCTCCTCCCTGATGTCATGGGATATTTATTTATTGCCTTTCCTCCGTACATCAGAAACAAAACCATCTCCTTGTCTTTAATAATCATTGGTACCTTAAAGCGCCGGAGTAAAAGAAAACAGATTTTTAGTCAAGTTTTAAAAAGCTGCAGCGAGCAAAAGAGAGAGAGAGAGAGAGAGCAGCGGTGTTTATATTCAAATTTACAGGTTGGACGTTTTTGTTTCTGCAGGAGTTCATAAGAAGTACCCGATGTTTGGTGTCTGGGACATCTATTCATGTTGCCATGGTAACAGCAATCAGTATTGTTTGATTTTTACTAGTATGGTACAGGAGTTTTTCTGGTGTCGTGATAACGCTTCTTTTTAAGGCCGCGTTTTGAGCTGCTGATGTGATTTGTGGAGAAACGAAGAAACACTAAACGAAGCAAGGACTTAATTTTATTCAAAGCTTTAACTCGTCAAGTGAACCGGGACTCGATTTTATGGATTTGCCCGAAAGAGATGAAAACGAGTCAGAGTAAAGAAGCTGACCTTTCGTCTCTCCCGAGCTGTCACCGTTCTGTTGTCAGTTCTGTTGGACTCGTTCTCCTTCGACCAAACTGTCTCTTCATGATGTTTGTACCTCACCCTGAGTTGTTGCGGTGAGAGCAGACAGCCCACGATCTTATCGTAACCCTGATCTCTGTTACATCCTGTCGGAGGGGAAACATGTCTGCAAGGCAACAAAGGCTTCTGTGTTTAGAACATGTCTTCTTAGTTTGAACGTCAGGTTTGGATGATGTTGCTGCTGAATTAAAAATAAAGTCAACTAATAACATTAATTGAGATGGTAACGTTTCTTTGTGTTTATTTCTGTCCTATGATAGCACTGAGTTAAGTGGTGTAAACTTGTCACCTTTCGGCGAAATTCGCCGTTTTGGATCCCGAATAGGTCATTTGTGTGATTCATTTAGATCTGCAATAATATTATTTGGAGGGGGGGGGTGTAAATCTGCTACGCGAGCGCTGAGCTGTCATGTTTCTTGCGGCGGGCGAGTGCGGTCCCGCAAACTTATGATTGCGGTCAGAGCGGTCTGATTGCTTGACGTACTTCCGGGCCTACAGCCAATCATAGCAACGCGGTCGGCACGAACCTGTCCGCATTGTTACAAAGATGTCGGAGGTGCTCGGCTGGGCGCTCAGACCCTCCGCGGATCATTCTCGCAACCGGCCGTGATTGTGCAATATCGCCGCGCCGACCGCAAGAAGCATGAACCCTGATTCAGTGAGTCAATGTGCAGCACATGGCTCATTTAGCCTACATAACGTTATTTTTCCGTGAAAACACTGGAAAGACTCGATGTTCTGTTCACCATCCTGTCTGATCATATTCACTGTTTGGTAGACAGACGTAAATATGATGAGAGAAATGTGTGCTAGCTTGAAGGTAACTCCATCCAGCTCTCTGGTTCATTATTATCTCAGACAACATTAAAGTGACAGCTGGTCAACACGTGTAATAAGACCAGAGGGAATATAAACTTTATGAAAATCAGCAGAAGCAAAACATCAGGTTCATATATTGATAATGTTTCATATTTAATGATAGAAGATAAAATATTGTCATCCTTGATGACTGTATGATGATGTTCTCTCAGACTCAGAGCTACCTGCACAGTGACTGTCCTTTACATCACCTCTTAGTGGAACATGGTAGGAGCTGTTCTGCAAATTCATCCCATTCATACAAAGGGACTGAAGGTTGGGAGCATCATGGGGTTTTTCATGTTTCACTGAAGCTTTATCAAAAACATAGAACAGAACATAGATATAGACAAGCAATTGTATTTTTCTTATTGTTTGCACCGCTTCTTTAGTCTGAATGCTAAAATCGTCTGTAAATTCACATTTTAAAGCTGATATAAAAAAAAAAAAATCTTCCCTGGGGGGCATGCCCCCGGACCCCCCTAGAGGGTTTGGATCCATGTCACCTTTTTCATCCTTGATGAGTTTGCACCCCTGTGAGTAGCTGCTGTGACTAACCCTGAAGTATCAGAATAAACAACTGGGTCATCTTCAGCTCGTCTTAAAGAGCCAGACCTCAAATATTTCAGTGTCATGTCGAACAAGAGTCTCTCTGTGAGGAGGTTCCTGGTTCAAATCCCCATCTGACAGGAGTCTCTCTGTGAGGAGGTTCCTGGTTCAAATCCCCGTCCTTCAGGAACCTCTCTGAGGAGGTTCCTGGTTCAAATCCCCGTCTGTCAGGAGTCTCTCTGTGAGGAGGTTCCTGGTTCAAATCCCTGTCCTTCAGGAGCCTCTCTGTGAGGAGGTTCCTGGTTCAAATCCCCATCTGACAGGAGTCTCTCTCTGAGGAGGTTCCTGGTTCAAATCCCCGTCTGTCAGGAGCCTCTCTGTGAGGAGGTTCCTGGTTTGAATCCCCGTCCTTCAGGAGCCTCTCTGAGGAGGTTCCTGGTTCAAATCCCCGTCTGTCAGGAGCCTCTCTGTGAGGAGGTTCCTGGTTTGAATCCCCGTCCTTCAGGAGCCTCTCTGTGAGGAGGTTCCTGGTTGAATCCCTGTCCTTCAGGAGCCTCTCTGAGGAGGTTCCTGGTTCAAATCCCCGTCTGTCAGGAGCCTCTCTGTGAGGAGGTTCCTGGTTTGAATCCCCATCCTTCAGGAGTCTCTCTGTGAGGAGGTTCCTGGTTCAAATCCCCGTCCTTCAGGAGCCACTCTGAGGAGGTTCCTGGTTCAAATCCCCGTCTGTCAGGAGCCTCTCTGTGAGGAGGTTCCTGGTTTGAATCCCCGTCCTTCAGGAGTCTCTCTGTGAGGAGGTTCCTGGTTTGAATCCCCGTCTGTCAGGAGTCTCTCTGTGAGGAGGTTCCTGGTTTGAATCCCCGTCCTTCAGGAGTCTCTCTGTGAGGAGTCTGCATGTTCTCCTTGTTCATGTGTGGGTTCTCTCCTGGTTCTCCGTCTTCCTCCCACAGTCCAAAGACATGCTCGTTAGGTTAACTGCTGACTCTAAATAACCCGTAGGTGTGAATGTGAGTGTGTCTGGTTGTCTGCCCTCTGTTTGGCTGGTGATCAGTCCAGGGTGTAACCCCGCCTCTCGCCCAATGACAGCCTGGATCGGCTTCCTGCGTCACAAAAAGGGAAAGAGCGGTATAGATAATGGATGGATGGGTGCTACTGTTGGAGGCAGTATGCAGTACATGCTACATACAACATTCAGTTGCAGGTTTTGAAACAACTGCCAACGGGTATTTTCACACCTATGGCTTGTTTTGCACCAGCACAGGGCGGTCCGCACTCCATCACTGCCTCCTTACAAATACCATGCATACTAGTCGCGCTTGGCATTGTGGGTCCTCACCGCGGCTTGTGGAATTGGGCAGATAAAAGTTTAGATAACCCCCCAGTCCCAAATCTAATATGGAATGCGTCCCTGCTCCCTTCCTGAGTGTTGTAGTTCTCGAAATCTGTCTTCAGACAAATTTTCAAGGTCTCGTCTCGGTCTCAGACTGGGCGGACTCCAGACTTTATATCTGGACCAGTCAAGACCACTGATAGGCTTTTTTCCCCCACATCATTACATTTCGTTCTAAAAGCATTTGGTGTTTGATTTTTATCCCCCGGTTACGACCGCAAACTTCCCGATGTTACAGTCTTAAGTAAGTGACACGCCCCCTAAACACAAGATGAAGAGATATTTATGGTCTTTTTCCCGGTCTCGAGCATGTTTTGGTCTTCGTCTTGTCTCGGTCTCGGAGCACTCCGGTCTTGGGCATGTCTAGGTCTCAGTTAACGGGTCATCATGACTACAACACTACCTTTCCTCCTCGTAATAGCCGGTAGTTTGCTTCTTAAGAACTACATAAGTTTATGTCAGATCGGTAAGACTTCTAAAAGAGGTTTTCTTGGTCCCTCAGGTGTTATGCTCGTGCAGCCGGGATTACTTCTCCCCTTTGAATCCGATGAGCTTTAATTATCGGGCATTGAAAAAGGAAGTTTTACACTTGAATTAGATTTATTCCACTCTTCTTTCACACCCGTCTCCTTCACCCAAACAACATACCATCCATCAACAGATTCACAATTTTACCAGTGATCATTCTGCAAAGTATTCTCTATAACAATGACTTCATGCTAACAAAGTGACTTAACAGTACAAATAAAAAAATACAGGTATACAACACAAACACAAGTTCATGTTTGTACTTCTTGCACTTATCAAGCAAATGGTGGTGATTGTGTCATGGCATCCTCTGACCACGCCCATCTGATGTCCAGCACTGCCCTCATTTACCTCCTTGCCTCATTCCACCAGGGGATGTTGCTCCAAGACGGCCGTTAGTTAACCAAGGGCCGGACCGTGGCATAGGCAGGATAGGCAAATGCTAGGGGCGCCAGCATCCATAGGGGGCACCGCTGGCGCCCCAAATTAATGAGGCAGAAAAGTTGAAGATAAGAAGAAGAAATAGAAGAAAAAATGTGTTTAAATATCAGTAAATATTATTTATCTAATATCATTTTCATGTTATTAATTAGTAACGTTATGAAAGAAGCCATGAAAACTACTAGGCTACTTCACATATTTAAAAAGGCTCTATTTTCTTGCCTCCTGCTTGACCCGGCGCATCACAACACCGCTGCTCGTTACCTGCTCGTTGTGGAGGAGGAGGGCAGGTGACTTATTAGAAGTGAGTGACAATGAGTGTACCAATTAATATCACGTATATAAATGACCGTAATGTAAAAAACAACAACAAAGCCCTCGGGAGCCCAGGGACGAAAAAGAAGAAGAGGAGGAATAATGTGAAAAAGACACAGAGGTAACGTGCTGCACGGATCAATGAGTTATCTGTTGTAGTTAAGCTAGCTGTTATGGATGGATGATAGTAATGTCTGTGTTTCCTAATTTCTAATCAGTAGCTTGAGTTAACATCAGTTAGTTCCACTGTATTTTCATAAGGTAAAGATTATTCATGTTATGAAAATAATCAGTGTAAGAAATACACTTCTTTTGTGAATTAAGCTATGTTGTTGGACATAAAAGCTACTTTTATATTTATTGACATCTTTGTGTACTTAGTTAGCTTTCACCCTAGTCGATTGAAATGTTTATTTCTACCTCCTGTTGTCATTAATAGTTTTAAGCTCTTGCCTTTAGAGCATTTATGTTTAATAGCATGAATGCATTTTGTGCTAGAAGTCCTCACTGAATAGATAGTTGTGCATGCTGTAGATCTGGTTGTAAGGAAAACGTTTGGGCTCACCTGAAAAACTATGTTAAGGTTTCTGTACTGCTCTGAACAGAAAATAATATTTTGTTTTCACACTATATTATAAAATCCAATTTTCATTATAAACATTTTAAACCATCCCCTGTCATCCCTGAGCCGTCTGTGACCACTTCTGCTTCCTGCACTGTTTGATATTGCTTGTTTTGTTACACTAGTTATTTGTATTTATTTATAAGAAATATTAGTATTATTGCCATTTTATTCACGTTTGTTTAGAAGTATTTTTTATTTTAAAATAAAGAAATTCTGGTAAATATAAAGCTGTATGCCAGTTTTCTTTAAGTTTATGAATATTGTGATTAGTGGTCAAACTGGATGCAATGTAAGGGGCAACTGCTGAAATCTTGCCTAGGGCGCCAAAATGGTTAGGGCCGGCTCTGAGTTAACCTACCAACAAAATCAATTGTGCAAAAAAGGGGGATGACCAATGACTCTGATATTGAACTTCTCTTGTTCCTCATCAGAGTGTGTCCAAACAAACCCGGCCAATGGGGTAAACACTCCCAGCAATCCAGGTGCCCTAAAGCATGCTGATGGGCTAAGTGGCTGTGAGTGATGACTTCCTGTTGAACATGATGGTGCTCATCCGCAAGTCGCTGCTCCTCCTCTCTGCGCTCGCCCTGTGCGTCGGATCCTCTCTGGCGCTGAACACCCTCCTCAACCTCAGCTGGGCCCTGAAGGCTTTGCAGAAGATGAAATAGATGAGCGGGTCCAGGCAGACGTTGAGAACGGACACCATGACAGTCAGCTCCTTCAGGTAGAAGAAGGCATGCCTCCATGAGCACCACCCCTTCAGGAAAGCGTACGGCAGGCGGACCAGGTGGTACGGGACGAAGCAGACGCAGAAGACGCTGACCAGCACCAACATGTTCCTGCGGGACTTGGCGAGCTTCTTGGATCCAGAGGACGCCTGCTGTCTCTGCTGTGCTTCTGACAACCTGTGGGAGGTGCCGTGGTAGAAGAAGATGAGGGAGACGAGGACGATGATGAAGATGGCCGCAGACCAGGTGTGGATGACTTTGTAGAAGAGGCTGAGTTGTTCACTGTGCAGAGCGTCACAGCTCAGGGTATTTGGGACGGACAGAATTGGTTCCTCGGTGAGGAACGACAGGGTGACGTAGGTGGTCATTATGGCCAAGAGGACAACCCAGGTTGCCGCAGAGATGATGTGGGCGGCTCGCACTGTCTGAAAGATGTGTGTCCCTAAAGGATGGACGATCTTTAGATACCTGCAGAGAGGGAAGAGGCACGCGTCAGGACATTACTCAGAACAAACAAGATGACCAGAGGATGTTGCTTTAATCAGAAAAAAACCCAATGGATGAAAAAGAAAAAAGTTTTGCACCTCCCCCTGCTGTCCAGAAGGGGCCACTACACTTCAGTATTTTGAAACCGTCCTTCCATCTTTTGTCCACATTTTCATACTTTACTTTAAAAGTGAAAACCAAACAGAAGTCACAAGATCTAACCTACCAACCATACCAGCCCAATTTCTTTGTTAAAAGACAAAATACTAAAACACCAAATGGAACATGCCAAATGAAAAATCACAAGAATACATATTTATATATTTCTTTATCAGCTTTCCTGGATGGGTATGTGGAAGGATGATTGATAAGTGGATGGATGGATGATGATGTTGGATGGATGAATGGTTTGATGATGATGATATTGGATGATGGATGGATGGATGATTGATGATGATGATGATATTGAATGGATGGATGGATGATTGATAAATGGATGGATGGATGATTGATAAGTGGATGGATGGATGGATGGATTGATAAGTGGATGGATGGATGAATGATGATGATGGATGGATGATGATGATGTTGGATGGATGGATGGATGGATGGATTGATAAGTGGATGGATGGATGAATGATGATGATGAATGGATGATGATGATGTTGGATGGATGGATGATGATGATGATGATGATGTTGGATGGATGGATTGATGATTGATAAGTGGATGGATGGATGATGATGATGTTGGATGGATGAATGGATGATGATGATGTTGGATGGATGGATGGATGATTGATAAGTGGATGGATGGATGATGATGATGTTGGATGGATGAATGGATGATGATGATGTTGGATAGATGGATGGATGATGATGATGATGTTGGATGGATGGATGGATGATTGATAAGTGGATGGATGGATGATGATGTTGGATGGATGCTGATGATGATGTTGGATGGATGGATGATTGATAAGTGGATGGATGGATGATGATGTTGGATGGATGGATGGATGCTGATGATGATGTTGGATGGATGGATGGATGAATGTTGATGGATAGATGGATGGATGATGATGATGATGGATGGATGGATGAATGAATGAATGAATGAATGATGATGGATGGATGGATGATGATGATGATGGATGGATGGATGGATAATGATGATGTTGGATGGATGGATGGATGATTGATAAGTGGATGGATGGATGATTGATAAGTGGATGGATGGATGGATGGATTGATAAGTGGATGGATGGATGAATGATGATGATGGATGGATGATGATGATGTTGGATGGATGGATGGATGGATGGATTGATAAGTGGATGGATGGATGAATGATGATGATGAATGGATGATGATGATGTTGGATGGATGGATGATGATGATGATGATGATGTTGGATGGATGGATTGATGATTGATAAGTGGATGGATGGATGATGATGATGTTGGATGGATGAATGGATGATGATGATGTTGGATGGATGGATGGATGATTGATAAGTGGATGGATGGATGATGATGATGTTGGATGGATGAATGGATGATGATGATGTTGGATAGATGGATGGATGATGATGATGATGTTGGATGGATGGATGGATGATTGATAAGTGGATGGATGGATGATGATGTTGGATGGATGCTGATGATGATGTTGGATGGATGGATGATTGATAAGTGGATGGATGGATGATGATGTTGGATGGATGGATGGATGCTGATGATGATGTTGGATGGATGGATGGATGAATGTTGATGGATAGATGGATGGATGATGATGATGATGGATGGATGGATGAATGAATGAATGAATGAATGATGATGGATGGATGGATGGATGATGATGATGATGGATGGATGGATGGATAATGATGATGTTGGATGGATGGATGGATGATTGATAAGTGGATGGATGGATGAAATGATAGATGTGTGGAAAAATGGATGAAATGATGGATGGATGGATGATAGATAGATAAATGGATGGATGGATGGATGGATGAAATGATGTATGATAGATAGATAAATGGATGGATGAAATGATGGATGGATGGATGATGATGATGGATGAGGTCTGTCCCCAACTGGCAAAAAAGTTTTTGCATTCAAAATCTTGCTTTTTAACTGTGAATAGATATTTCCAAGTCATCATTTCACAAACTGAATTGATTCTTTTGATCTACTTTGATGTTTTAAAGTAAACTATAACCTGATTATTTAAGGTAGGAATGCAAAATCAGTTAATCTAGATTCACATCCTGTTTCGACTTTAACTTGTTATCCTCTACAAAAACCCAAATTATGAGTTTTTACTCTGAGTGCCAGCTTTGAAATGTAATGCATTATTCTGTAAACTGGTGATTATTCTGGTCTTAAACCGACTTCCTGCAGTGGAATGAGCTTTCTGCACAAATCATGAGTTGAATGGTCCAAATATAAATGGCATACAAGGATACTAATAATTCACAACTGAATACAAATGTTTTCCTGTTAATGAATAAAAAGTTATTGTTGTGTTTTTGAATTTATTGGGCCCATTATCTGGTTAAACTCAGGTTCTCATGCTAGTGAACAAGAATAAAAATGTATCTTTTGCGTTTATAAAAACAAGAAACACAAGTTTAAAAATGTGTGTTGATGTTTGTGGTGTTAGCCACAGAGTCATGTGTGTATGCTGTTGTTGTGCAACATGTCCTCTAGGTTAGGAGACCACAGCTCTGATGTGAGACAACACCATCTGAAATATAGCACACAACACAATACTACGCTTTACACCAAAACAGTTAAATAAAAAGGACCGTCAGATATTGGTTAAATCAGCATTCGCTGCAGGGGTTAGGGTAAGGGTTGCATCTACTTGATACTGCAGCAAAACACATCTTTGTGCTTTTTTAGCTTACATGTCCAAATGATCTCACTTCCTTATCATGACATGAAAACCTGCAGCAGCTGAAGCCAAATATTTATAGTCTGTTGAACAATGTAGAGTTCAGTTTCTCAGTAAACTTTGTATTCAGACTCTGGTCTTGTTTCAGTTTGTCCTTGTGGTTAGTGAACAGAACTGATAGTCTGAGGTTTTTAGACTCGTCACTGTCGTTGAATTTAGCCTCTTTGTTCCTGAAATGTTTGCTTCACATATATCAAACATTTTAAGTCCATGTGGAGAGCCATCACAACTCTGCAGCCTGTACATTTAAAGGCAGGGTTTAACAGTTTCAACCAAAATCTTAAAAAAGTGTATCTGAAGAAAATTACCAACCCTGCCTTTAAGCCTTTTTGGGCTTTTTAAGATTTATTTAGAGACAGGACAGTGGATATAGTCAGAAACTGGAGAGAGAAAGTGGAGAAAAGAGCCACAGGTTGGAACATAACCCCGACCACCCGCCTGGAGGGCCCCAGCCTCCATACATGGGATGCCCACACCAACGAACAGGTCCCCGGTTAGCCAACAGGCTGTACATTTCTTGAGTAAACTTTTGAAATCTTGATTCAGAATCTAATTAATCAACATCATCATAACATTTTGTCTTAACCTGTTCTCAATAAAAGTTTCAATGAAAAGTCTTTGGCCACGTTGACACGAAAACAGTCCACTGAAAACTGAATTGTTTTTCATTTTCAAAAATGTTTCACGTTCAGATGACAATGTTTTGAAAACAACCGCTGTGCAGAAAACGCCTATGAACACTGTAGTACACCTGCCAGGCCAGTAGTTGTAGGTGTGACTTTGTAATGAAACATCACACACCACAGGGTCGCTGTGGCTCAGTTGGTACAGTCTCAACCGCTAGGTTGAGGGTTCGATCCCCATCTCCTGCAGCAACACATCCAATGTGTCCTTGGGCAAGACACTTAACCCCGCTGCCTTGGCGGCATATGAATACCAATTAATGGGATTCATTACTTCAGATGGTCTCACGCCATCAGTGTGTGAATGTATCGGTGTGACCTACGGTGTAAAAGAGCTCTGAGTAGTCAGAAGACTAGGAAAGTGCTATATAAACTCATGTCCATTTACTTGCTCACATACTATTCTTTTCTTACAGAGCAGTGAGGTGTAAAGGTCTGTAAACATAAGTAAATGGAAAATGGCTAGTCGCCATCTGGCTGCCCTTCACTGGCCAAAGTTTAATTCGGTATTTAGCGGGTAGAAGTAAGTTTGAGTCAAGAATCAATGTCTACGACTAGATTTTTATCAGTAAATATCTGCATAGTGATGCATCAAGAGTTAAACCGCTGTCACATGGTCAATGATAACTTCTTGGATTGCATTTCGGGTGATGTATTCAGCTTCTGTTGCTCTCCATGGACTGCTTTGCTTAAATGTGACTCGTCAATTCAACTTTGACTAAAAACACAAACTGGAATGCTTTCCATACTGTCCTCTTGCCTTCATTGAAATGAAGTCAGCCTGTTTTCTTTTAGATAAAACCAGTTGCTTTGAATGAGATAAATACACTGTCTGCCAGCTCAGCAAGTGTTGTCCCTCACCTACAAATTCTCCTTTATGTTCAGACATCTGTTTTTATAGAGATTCAAATAAAGGTGCTTCATGTCTTTCGCGTCCTGACAAGTCCTACCTGTTTGCTGCAATGTAACCCATGAACAGGATGCTGGCGTACATGTTCAGGTAAAACGCAGAGGCGCCAAAGTTGCAGTAGACCCTGATCATGGTGACAGAGCGGCTGGCGAAGTGGCCAATTCTGATGGGGAGGCTGAGGGTGAGCAGGAAGTCTGCAGCTACCAGGTTCTTCAGGTAGATGGTCACGCTGCTGGACACCTGCTGGTGAGCGCTGAAGAAATAAACTTTCAGGGTGAATCCGTTAAGGACTAAACCCACCTAAGGGCAGAAAAGGATCAGATTAATGTACCAAGAAATCAGAGTGCTTTCGTAGGACATGGAAAGAGGAAATCTGAGTATTTGAGACTCACCAGAAACACCAGACTGTAGACCAGAATGAAGAAAAGGTCGGCTGAAGGTTTGACCTGATCGCAGTGCGACGACCCGTTGATGTTTGTGCGGTTGGACAGTCCATTTCCTTCCATGCTCTAGATGTTTCCGAATAGCCCAGGAGAGCTGAAGGAGCATCTGAAAATGGAAGTGGTAAAAGCTTAGAGGAAGTGACATATCACCACAGCAGCAACAGGAATATTCTGAACTAAAATACTCAACAGGTAACCAGAGGGGCTGGGCAAACCAAGACTCCAGATGAAGTCTAGAATCTGCTCCTGTACGCTCAACAGAAGCTGGTTACAGACTGAAGAGATGCTAAGTTAGCTTGTTAGCATCTGTAACTCTACAGTTTGTTGGTGGCCTGTGGGCTCTTAGAGAGAGGGCGTGCCATGACACCTGCTGATCTTTTATTTCGGACTCCGGTGTAGTTTGTTTCAAGAACCAACCTCAATCTGACCGGACTGCATGAGGCACTGTGCTTTGATGGATTTAACAAGCTACTGTAGCCAGTCACGCAGTGCATTATGGGTAGGATTGTCGGCCTTTAAGTACCACAAAGGCAGCCTGATGAATTGTGGACAGACGTTGCAGTTGGAGCAACTACAGCCAATCAGGAGTCAACTAGTCTTTGCTTACTTCAGGGATTACTACCACAAGAAATTCTGACCAACTAGAGAGCATTCTCCAAGTGCATCACACATGTTGGTCCGCTTGTAAATGCCCCCCAGTGTGAACACAGACTAAACTGTAGGTAATTATGGAACCAACTGGGCCATGATTCAGACCAGAGCCCACAGACAATAGGTGTGCAGCAAAAAGGTCACTTCTGGCTGGCTGGAAGACAATGCTCAAAAGTGCCAAACAGAAGGTGTAAGGTGGAAGTTCACAAACCAGTTGGTGACATAACAATGACTATCTCTGCATTGAACAATTGGGAAGTAAGTAAATGGCTGCTATAGTTTCCTGTTCTATCTCTGAATCCTTAAAATCCCTTCACAGATGAATAGTTTTTGAACATTTTACAGGTTTTTTTTATGGGCAATTTTAAAGATTAATTTAGCAGAAACAAAATATATCCTAAAACGGAGTGAAGTCAAACTCCCTCTGCGGCTCGTTGTTTTCCGTACTGTGTTTTCAGCGTGTTTATATTTTTTTCCTCAGAGTCCCAAACATTTTTCATTCAGAATTTTTTAAGTGAACCCCTCCTATTCTAATCGTTAGCCCTGTAACCATGTGGGGGAATAACGACGGCCCCGCCAACCCCGCCTTTAACTTGTTAGTTAAAGGCAGAGTGGGTAATTTTCTAAAACTAGCATGATTTTGAAAGTAGCATTCCCTCAGTGCCCCGTCTGCACCCCGTCCCCTCTGTGCTCCCTCTAAAGCCACGCCCCCTCACTTAAAAGCACAAGCGTCGTTGCTCCAGAAGACCTCAGCTCATGCTTTGAGTGTGAGCTAGAGCACACAAGAGGTAGAGAGCAAGCAGGGAGACAGGGAGGCGTGTGATTGGTTCTTCAGATTGGTACCTCGTGGCAGACATTGGTTGAAGTTTTTACAGGCTTACAAACTGATACAGATGATGGATTTTCTTTGTTCCTTTTTCAGAGAACATGAGTTATTAATTTCTGTCAGGACCTAAAGACAATTTACACCAAAATCTTAAAAAGTGGATCTGGAGAAAATTACCAAACCTGCATTTAAGGCATGGCGGCAGAAGTTCATCGAGTTCAAGAGTACAATTCAAGGAGAACCAAAATAATTTCCAAACTGGCTATGAGACTTTTTTACTTGAGAAGGAAAGAAATGACAAATGAATGAACTTTTGCTGCGTATCTGAATGAATATCAGTTGTTGAAATGGTTGCAGTTGGTCAGAACACTAAAGGAAGGGTGGTGGAGGAGGAGGGGAGGCAGTGCGCTGAAAGGACAGCTCAAATGGGATTGAGAGACTGGTGCTGAAGTGCGACATTTACTGGACCCCTTCTCTGAAAGTCGCATATTAAACCTTTAAGCATATACCTGAAACATGTTGCTTCATGCAGTAGACTGTTGTATGAAACCACCAGTGAGTCTGTGGTCAGCAGTCAGTTACTGCACCTAAAAACCTCTGACAGAGAGGAGATAAATCTATCTATTAAAATAACAATTACCGGAAAGCCGATACCGATGTTTGTTTCACGACTCCTTTCAATGTCAGACTCCCACCATGCCGACATTTTCTCTCATGTTTGACAATGAAAACAAGTACAACATTCTGGCAGAAATCGATGTAGACACAAGGTGAGATTCTTTTATGAAGTTACTACCTATCCTACGTGCATCCTCAAGGCGTGTTTTACCCTGATGATGTTTTTTAAAAGGACACGTCAACCCTCTTTGACAAATACACCATAAATGTGTAACAACAATCTTTAGAGAGTAAGGTGTTAAGTGTTTTTCTTCTGAATACAGAATACAAAAAACTTGATAAAAACTGAATAAGCAGCCTTAAATCAATGATGAAACAACAATGTCTTACATTCAAAAAAAGGCAAATTTACATTCTGCATCTGACATGAGCTGTAGCTTGCAGTATTTCTATCATTAAGGTTTAACCAATGTTTATTGTTCTGTAGAAGTGCAGAAAACATAATTATCTGCAGTGCTCACCTGTTCGCGTCGCAGCTTGTGTGTGTCTGTGACCCACTTCCTTTTTCAGCGTTCACATCAGGAAGGACTGATGAGAAGAGGGAGGAAGAAGAGCTGCACACTGAAACTACTGAGATCATGACTATGACTCATTATTTACATGTCAACAGGAATGACACACACACACACACACACACACACACACACACACACACACACACACACAGATGCTTTAAAGGTCATATATTGCAAAATACACTTTACCAAGGTTTTCAAACACTAATATGTGTCTGTAGTCTACAAACCCCCCAATGATGAGACAAGTCCATCCTCTCCGTCTTCTTCCTGCTCCACTTTTCAGAAAATGTGTGCTCAAACAGGCCATTTGGAGATTTTCTCTTCATGACATCACAAAGGGCAGTAGCCCCTCCCCCAGGTGGGTGACACTCCCACAGCTAGGTGTTTGTTCTGCCCTCTGAGTCTGCCTTCTCACCGTAAACAATAGGACATGGAGCGAGAAAGCCAGAGACACCCAAGCCCTTCCAGAGAGGGGGCGTGGTCAGACACAGCTCATTTACATATTTAAAGGTACAGACACAGAAACAGCCTGTTCTGAGCAGGGCTGAAATAGAGGGGTTTATAGACATGATCAAATACAGGATCAGAGTGGATTTAGAAGAAGAAACTTCACACACATGTTTTGAGGAGCTCTGAGACTTATTTAAACTGAAGAGGAGGAGAATATGTGACCTTTAAAGCTTGTCCAATAGGGGACCCCAAAAATGTTCCCTATTTGTTTAGTTTCTCGTAGTTTTTAATTATTGTCATTTTCTGTTTTATTTTGTTACCTACCCTTGTCTCTGTCTTTCAGATCCTGCTCCTCATTTCTCCCGCTTTGCGTGTCAGCCCCGCCCTGATTAAACTCACCTGCATCTTGTTGTCCCCTGATTGCCTGTGTATTTAATCCCTTTGTGTCCTCCCTGGTGTTTTTTCGCCTGCCTGTGCACTGAACCGGACTGACTGAACCTGTCATATATGCGGCTGAACCCAAATGCAGACCAACAGGTAAGGTGTCAAAAATTACTTTATTTAGAAATGTGCAGGAGTGAGGTGTCCAGGGCCGGGGGTGAGGCAGTGAGCTGGAGGTAACTGGCTGGCAGGCTTTGTTGTCAGTGATGCAGAATTGGAAGAAGAAGGTCCTGCAACAAAACAAAGTCTTAAGGTATTTAACAAGGCTAAACTGGAGCTGGGCGTGTGACTTAACAAGCCATGAATGGCACAACGACTGACTGTTGGTGCAGGGCTCTTGTAGGTCAAGTTGATTGCAGGCAGGTGTGTTGATTAAAGATGCAATGCAGGTGAGCAAACCTCATGCAAACTGAAGTCATGGAGCAGGTACTGTGACAGAACCTTTCCTTTTGTACTCTACCTGTGGAGCCTTTCTTTTGAATTGCTTTTAACTATTTATTAACTTAAACTATTTATGTTTAAGTTATTGTGAGTCTAATTGGTGTGATGGTTTTTATGCTGTTTGAGCCTCTAACCAAAGGTCATTGTCTGCCACAAGCTTTTTGAATCTCAAATCTTGAAGAGGGGACTTCAAAAAAATGTCCCTTCTTTTCGCCTTGTCCCCGTTTGGTGAATATATAATTACACCAAAGTCCCCAGTAAGCTTGGTACATAAGTATACACATACACACATAGATAATGTAAAGAGTGTAATAGCATCTCAGTTAGAGATGCACTGTTAAATAGGTACATAAGTACACACATATTCAGATAGTTATGACAAACAGACAAGGTCACCAGTCAAAATAGCTTGCTGAAAGCTGCAACATACATTACATTAATAATAGCTTTTCAGATTTTCAAAAAAGTCCCCTTCACAATCAACCAATATCAGCATTATGTCAATATAAAAGAAGCAATATGTAACTCTGACAGCTAGTGTTTAAATTGGGTACTGCAGTCCAAATTCAAAACATTGTAGAGAGCTGTCTACACACACACACACACACACACACACAAAAGGCTGTTCCATTTAACGAAAAGAGGAATGTTGCCAGAGATATTAAATTGAGTTACAGGAACATCTTTATTATTTGCGTCTTATTGAGGAAGTTTACCTTCAAGGGGTTCTACCCTGACTGATACAGTAACATGGAACATATACAGGAAATCTTTCTTACTGAAGGCCATAACTCTGTACAACAGCTCACCTCATGCGACCAGAGAACTGTCATCATGATAATATCTGTCTCTTCTTACTGTAATCTGTTCTGCACATGTTAAATTTACAAATTATCCCTGCACTCAAGTTCACTTCATTTGTCTGTCTACTCGCCGTTATATTGAATAGTTTCTGCTGATAACATGTCTACACTCCTGCACTTTAACTTATGTATCACTGATTGCACATCTCCGTATGTCAATACTGTCCATTTACAACTCTGTTTATGCACATTTACAACTACCTCCAGAAAAGTATGTTGTATTTAATCTTTTCTTAATTAAGACTAATAATGCTAAGTTAAATCCTGGTTGTATATATTCTCATTCTAAGTTTTGATATTTTTAGTGCTTATTTACTTTGTATTTAATATTATATTGTGTTTAAATTTGCTAATATTGTTCATGTAGAAGGCTAAGACACCAAAGTTGCAGTAGACTCTGAACATGGTGACAGAGCGGCTGGAGAAGTGGCTGATTCTTAAGGGGAGGCTGAGGGTGATCAGGTAGTCTGCAGCTGCCAGGTTCTTCAGGTAGATGGTCACGCTGTTTGATGTCTGCTGCTGGGCGCTGCAGAAGTAAAACCTCAGGGTGAATCCGTTGAGGACTAAACCCACCTAAGGAGGGAAAGGACTATATTGTTTTCCCAACACAGCTCAGACATAGAAAGATGAAATCTGAATATTTGAGACTCACCAGAAACACCAGACTGTAGACCAGAATGAAGAAAATACGACCCGGCATGTCAATTTGTTCACAATGACCATTTGTCTGGTTGTTTTCTGAGGACAGGTTGAGGGACGGGGTCATTCCAATTTCTCCAAAGTCTGTCATGTTTCGGGATGATCTCAGACAGATTCTGAAAATGGTGCAAACGTCATCAGACTGGGTACACAAGTTTGTTTAAGCAAATAGGAAAATGGCAGATCACATTCATCCGATGTAAAAACAGTCATTGCTTTAAACCGGTTATTCAAAACCTGACTCTCTGAAGAGGAACAGCTCCCTAAAAATAAACCTGAAATAATGATAATCTTGTATTGTGCTACAGATCTTCTCAGTCTGAAATGCAGCTGTGAGACTCACACTCTTAGTTCATTTTCAATGTCCATGTTTCATCTGTATTTTTTATTTTTGTGGATGCATCTGCAGAATAAACTCTCACAATGTGGCAAAAGGAAGACTTGATCACCTAGTTTGACACTTCAGACAAAGAGGAGCAATATGTGTTAGGATCATCAGACTACAAGTTTTAAAAAAAGACCCAACTGAGAAAAAAACATTTGCTGAATATTTATCTATTTAGTATTTGAAACAAAACCGAACATCCAAAACTGATATTTAGAAAAATGTGTAAGTATCTTTTAGAGATAAAACCTTAAATATGAATACAGAGTGTGTTTAAGAAGATGGAGACAGCAAAGAGGAAATAACACATTAATTTACATGCATAACAGTGGTGCACTATTGTCGCACAGATATCTTTCATCAAGTTCCTACATTTTAAACATAAACATGCAGCCTAAAGGTATGAGTTTTATCCTGAGGATGTTAAAACAAAAATCATGTTAAACAACTATTTTAAAGAAAAGGACATTCATAAAAGCCAGACAATAAGTAATAAAATAAACAAAATATATAACACAAAAATTAAAAATAAAGTATATAAAAAAACATGCCAAACAACTATTTTAAAGAAAAGGACATTCACAAAAGCCAGACATGTAATAAAATAAAACAAAAAAAGTACTGCATCTTGCATACCTTACAGTCTGTATCTGACTTGAGATGTAACTTACAGTACAATAGGTGCAGCAGTAGTAATAGTTGTAACTGACGAATGAATTACCTGCAGTGCTCAGTTTGTGTCCGAGGAACTCTGTGATCTACTTCCTTCAGAAGAGACTGATGAGATACAAAGGAGGAAGAGCTGCACCCACACACTGACGTGGTTATATATATATATATATATATATATATACACACACACACACACACACAAAAACATGCCTTTGGATTCAATTCAATTCACTGCTTCATTGGTATTTAAGTTTTTAGAAACAGTTTTGTAAAAGCACACACTCATCAAACACAAACATTTGTATTGTTATACAGATGATATATTGTTATACCTAATAGTCTCAGAAAAGTCTCAGTTTTCAGAGGAACAGTTACACGACAATGGAGATGGTGCAGTTTTCAAAAGTTTGTTTTCTGGTAACTGTTTTCAGAACTTTGGGTTTTCAGTTGAGGTGTCTGAAATATCTAGGACAGAGGTCAGTACAGCTCCTTTAAGGTTATGCAACACCACATCTGGAAAGTTTTTGTATCTGAGACCGGTATAGGAGCCCCCCCAGTTGAATGTTTGCGTTGAGGCTTTGTGTTAGAGAATTGCCATATATGGAAATTGTTGTATGCTGTTTTGATCCCCCAGAACGAGGAGCAGATGTTCTCATGTGGGGTGTGTGCATAAATACGACTGTCCTTGTATGTTCGGCAGAGATCATTATTGGCTTCATGTCTCTCCTAGGCCGGCGAGCCTGGTGATGCTGAACTGCTTTGTAAATAAATGTATTTTTATGCAAGCAAGTCAGCGTCAACGGAGATTTTCTTCATCATCTGCACATCATCAGCGACTGAAGGAAACTACAAATATTTGGCGTCGCGGACAGGATCGGTTGGGGCCTCCTGCAGCTGCCGACAGCTTCAGCGTGTTCATTCCTCCATCACCTCGAGGGTGATTGTTGCTTTTTCACACACTTGGGGACCGGTCTGATCCGTTGACAATGTCGTCTGTCTACTTTTGGCTATTTTGGCTGCACTGTTAAAGAACTTATAGTGCAATGATGTGTTGATGTTTGGAGTGATTTTCCGTCTAAATTGGGGTTTATTGAGTTAAAAAAAGTAATAAATAAAAGGGGGGGCGTAAAATAGAGAAAAGAAAATAAGACACAGATAGTGAAAAGAGAATAAATTGAAAGTAATGGTAATAGTAGTATAAGCGGAATTAGTAACAAGAACAGTTAGCTGCAAGATTAATAAAGACAGGACCCGTATCTTAACGGTAAGACGTGTAGATTAGATACTGGAGTGAAAGTTGGCTTTAAGAAGCAGTCAAATTTGAGTAGAAAAACAAAGAGGAGAAATAACCCTGGCCAGGGGTGGGAACACAGCCTGCCATGGGTGACATTAAGAGAATCTTGGCTAGCCTCATTGGGGTCCCAGCGATGGAGGAGATCCTGCAGGCGGCAGGCCTTAATAAATTTGTGGCAACTGCGGTGTATGGTCCGGAATTGTTGGCTGCAAGTAGAGGTTGGATGTGGAGAGCATTGAGAGATGCATTTCCAACAAACGTACACCCTGATAATATTTTTATTGAATCATTGGGTCCGCAGGAAAACCCAAGATCTTGTGTGTCAAGGGCTCATTAAGTGTGGAGAAATGTCACAGGAAATGACCCGGATTTGAATCAAATGGAGCAATCAATTTTGAGAGCCAAGATACAGAAGGGGCTGCCCCTACCAGTGCGGAGCAAATTAGCAGAGGTGGTTGGTGTTGGAAGCATGACAAAAGGTGTGTATACGGATCACATCAAGTGGTTTAACCAACGCCGCGAAGGACCATTTGAAGTAGTCCGCAGTACGGGAACTGCAGTCCAGGTTAAAGGGTCTCCTACCTGGTATCATCTATCACATTGTGTTAAAGTGCCAACAGAAGAGGTTCCACGATCACAGAACCGAGATGTCGAAAGCTCAAGAGAGCCTACAGAAGCTGCAGAAACAGCCAAGGCTCATGAGGACCTCCAAGGTCAAGATCCAGAAGAAGGGATTGACCATGCTGTGGGTATGCATGATGATTTTGATCACACTTTTGATGATGCCAGGGATGACTTGTCAGTCCATGAGCAAGAAAGACGATTTGGTGACATTGATTTACAACATGTCCCAGAAACGACAGAGTCTACTTCCCGAGAGTATGAGTCGTCAAAGACTCCAGAGGGCTGTGATGCCTCTCCAGGAAAATCCACAGGCCCGAGGAATCACTGGGAGCACAAGGAAAACTAACATCTGACATAACTACAAATGACAATGAACTGACACAGAGGGGAAGAGACTAAATAGACACATGGGGTAATCAGACACAGGTGAGACTAACAAGACACAGGTGAGCACAATCAGGGCAAACAACATGGAGGGAAACACACAGAGGCAGGAATGCAATGCAAGAAACACTGAGGACAACTACAAAAACTAAATCATGAAACACTAAAGACACACAGAACTCAAGAATGAAACAAAACACACTAGAACATAAAGAAATTCTAGGATATGAAGTTACAAAATAACACATGAAACACTAACCTAGAAAACACAGAAACAACACCATCAGGGAAGAATGAGAACTAAAAACAACAAGAAAATCTAAACTCTAAAAATAAGAAACCAAATCATGACATTTTTACCTTATGGTTGGGTTAGATGTTGTTATATGGCACAGTTGAAACATCTGTATGATGTTTTTGTTATTCAGAAGGGACAAGGGTCTGATGAGGTTAACTCTACGAAGATCTCTAGAACGAGATTTGGCACAATTTCACAACTTGGAGTCTTATCATTGGAGGATAAGTTTGGGAGAGAAATGGGGTATAGGATTGTTTCCATGGTATGGTGTTACATACTTAGCTGATCATATTGATAATATTACATATACCCTGCAAGGTTTTGCAAATGAGACCATAAGGGGTTTTGAATATTTGTCAAATACTCAGAGGAGTTATCGATTGACGTTGCTGAAACATGACATGGCTCTTGATTACATTTTGGCCAAACAAGATGGCCTCTGTGTAGCTTTGAATCTAACTGGAGACGCCTGTTACACTTTGATCCCTGATGCTGCTGACAACATGACTAGTGTCATAGATGCGTTGAAACTTATAAGGGATTCGTTTTGTCCATCAGAAGGAGCGGGATGGTCTGCTAATGCTTGGTTGCAATAGTGGTTCAGATTCTGGTGGCTGCTCTTCTATCACTGTGTGTGATGCTTTGTACGCTGTTGTTGACCTTTGCTAAGGCTATGATATTGAGATGGGTATGAGTTGTGATGCCGGGAGAAAACATTCAGATGCCGCTACTGAGTGGTAATGACCTAAGTGAAGACGAGGAGGTCATAGAGATGGGACAAGAGCTAGTAGAGAAATATCCATTTTGAATATCTGACTTCATCATTGACTCACTATTATTTTGAATAGGTAGTGCATGGATAAAAGGGGGGAAATGGAATATGTTAATCATGTATATGTTAATCATGTAGTGGAATAATGTGAAAGTATGATACAAAATGCATATATTTTTGATGTTTTTGTTACTGGTAAGATACTGGTTGTTGATTTTTCTTCCCAGGATGATATTTTGGAGACCAATGTGAGGGTGGCTGATTATCCAGAGATCCTTCCAGCCTAATGGACTTGAACAACCAAACTTAGGAAAATGGAGGATGGAAGTAGACAGCGGACCCTGAATGAGGACATCATGATGAGGGGGTTTCGATTGAAAAATCATTGAAGGTTTATTACAGTAGAAGCTGATGCTGCTAAAAAGCAACAGTTTGATATATACGTTTATATATCATATATGTTTTCTGCATGTTTTTATAGTATTGTATTTTTTTTATTACAATGTAACTTGTATTATTGATAAATATTCTGATTATTCTAGATATTTTTAGTAAGACATATTACTTTGGTTTAGTATTGGAGTTTTCTGGAACTGTATAAGATGCATATATTGGGACCTCAGATGTTTTCTTTCTTTCTCAGTCCTTAGGGAAAGTGGTGTCAGGTAGGGAAAGGTCCATTGGAAGGTGCGATGGGTCGACCAGCCTGACTTTGTTTTTTTTTGGCTTTTTAATTGGTTTGGAGTACTATATGTGGTTGCCTGGGGCAGAGGGACCGTGAGAGAGTTTTCCTGTCTAGATTGTTTGATGGATACAATAAGAAAGATAGCTGCCTGATGGGTTTTTTGCTCTCGCACTCCACAAAATGTACTATATTGCTAAGGGTAAGCATGGACAGAAGGGTATATCATAAGTATTCTGTGTGTGTTATTATATGATTCTTATGAGGCCAATTAACCTCATAATTGAAAGTGTTTGTATCTGAGACCTGTGTGTTGCCCCTTGATTTAACGAGATACATAAATCTAAGACAGAAAACCCCACAGTTGGATGTATGCATTTGGACCCTGTGTTGGAGAGTTACCAAATATGGAAGTATGGAGGGATGCTGTTCTGAGCCCCCAGAACAAAGGGAGCAGATGTTCACATGTGGGTGTGTAATTTCTGCATAAATATGACTGTTCTTGTAAGTTTGGGAGAGATCATTATTGGCTTCGTGACTCTCAAAGGCCGAACCAGGGGCCTGAACTGATGCTGTTCTTCTCTGTAAATAAACTAATTATTTTACAAGCAAGTCAGTGTCAACAGAGATTTCTTCATCATCTGCACATCATCAATGACTAAGAAACAACAGTAGTTCAACGAGTTGGGTAGAGCATACTGGAGAACAGATAACTTAATGCAGCCGTTTAAGTATGTGCACAAGACTGTAGCGGTCGCGAGTGACTTCCTATTTTGTGTGTGTGACAGTGATGTACATAATTAGCACATTTGTGACATCAATAGTGGTCGGGCAGCTCTTCTTCCTTCCTCTGCCTCTCTTCAGATCTTACTGCAGTGAGCATCGAGAAAGAAGACAGACACTCAAACTGACTCGCGGACAGGTGAGCGCTGAAGGTAACTCGCTTCTTTACTATTCTACAACCCTTATGTTAGACATCGGTTAAACATCCATCATAGAAACATTGTATGTCATCACTGAAGTTGGATATAAGAGGAAAAGGAGATTGTGTTTTTTTACGATTGGGATGTTTTTGTAACTTCAGTTTAGTTGTTTTCACATTTTCAATGATACACATGGGCTGTAATATTCAGTTTGGTTTTTACAGATGGAGCTCTTTATGTTTCATTTAGTAGAGCTGACCAAGTTTAATCATTAAACAATATAAGAAAGTTCATGCAACTTCAGGAATTATTAAACATTTTACACTTGAAGCAAAAGTTCTCAGTTCTGACTTTTTCTGTGCTCATGAGGTCTTTACTTCCCAGTATGAGTGATGAGTGCTGAGAAATTTTGACTAAAGATTTCTCATGATAAAACAGTTAACTCTGTAAATGTAAAACCTGCGGTTAATGTGATGGTCTGTTGACGTCTGTGAAGAAACTTATGAAGGGGCTTGAACCAAGTGATTGTTATCTGTTAAAAACCCTCAGACTCTCAATTCTGCTGTCTGAACACCATGACACAGAAAAACAAGATCAGACTGAACTCTGGGCATGCATTGACACTGAACTATACACTGACTAAAGACTATTAATAAATAGTTTCAGCTGCAGCAGGTTTTTCGTTTCAGAATAAAGATGTGTGGTTCTTGTGGTTGTGCTCAGAAAGTGATGATGTTTTAGTTCAACATATGTTCAAAGAAACAAAAGGCCACACATTGCACAGACCTGAACTCTAACTACATGTTGATGCAGCAGCAGGTCTGAGTTCAGGGAGACCAGTTGCCAACATGTGGAAGATGTTACCCCGATGCTGAGAAATAATTCAGAATTCAATTTCTAACCCTAAAAGATAAACATCTCTATTAAAACCATTAACTTGTAAATATGAACAACATGGCACGTCTCCAGGAGAGTAAAGTTCCTTTTTTTTTGTTATCCTCATGTTTCATGTCTTGTGTTTCCTGTTTTACTGTCTCGTTTCAGATCCCTTGCTTCCTTCCCTCCCTCCTGTGTCTGCGGCATCTGTGATTACCTGTTGTGTCTCACCTGTGCCTAGCAGTCTCCACTCCCCTTGAGCACTTAATCTCTGGCTGTTTTCAAAAACTGCTTGCTATACTAGAAGTTCGTACTCATTTGGCTAAAATGCATTATGTAGTTTGTGAACAAGATGCGAGATCCACAGTATGCCAACAATACCCGGATGTTGTACTGATTCTGTAAAAAATGGACAGAATAGACCAGTCTCCCTCGTGCACTTATTCCCACAATTCAATTCAATTTTCTAAAAACTTAAATACCAATGAAGCAGTGAATTGAATTGAATACAAAGGCATGTTTTTGTTTTTGTGTGTGTATATATATATATATATATATAACCACGTCAGTGTGTGGGTGCAGCTCTTCCTCCTTTGTATCTCATCAGTCTCTTCTGAAGGAAGTAGATCACAGAGTTCCTCGGACACACAAACTGATCACTGCAGGTAATTCATTCGTCAGTTACAACTATTACTACTGCTGCACCTATTGTACTGTAAGTTACATCTATATTAATGTGTTATTTCCTCTTTGCTGTCTCCATCTTCTTAAACACACTCTGTATTCATATTTAAGGTTTTATCTCTAAAAGATACTTACACATTCTTCTAAATATCAGTTTTGGATGTTCGGTTTTGTTTCAAATACTAAATAGATAAATATTCAGCAAATGTTTTTTTCTCAGTTGGGTCTTTTTTTAAAACTTGTAGTCTGATGATCCTAACACATATTGCTCCTCTTTGTCTGAAGTGTCAAACTAGGTGATCAAGTCTTCCTTTTGCCACATTGTGAGAGTTTATTCTGCAGATGCATCCACAAAAATAAAAAATACAGATGAAACATGGACATTGAAAATGAACTAAGAGTGTGAGTCTCACAGCTGCATTCCAGACTGAGAAGATCTGTAGCACAATACAGGATACAAGATTATCATTATTTCAGGTTTATTTTTAGGGAGCTGTTCCTCTTCAGAGAGTCAGGTTTTGAATAACCGGTTTAAAGCAATGACTGTTTTTACATCTGATAAATGTGATCTGCCATTTTCCTATTTGCTTAAACAAACTTGTGTACCCAGTCTGATGACGTTTGCACCATTTTCAGAATCTGTCTGAGATCATCCCGAAACATGACAGACTTTGGAGAAATTGGAATGACCCCGTCCCTCAACCTGTCCTCAGAAAACAACCAGACAAATGGTCACTGTGAACAAATTGACATGCCGGGTCGTATTTTCTTCATTCTGGTCTACAGTCTGGTGTTTCTGGTGAGTCTCAAATATTCAGATTTCATCTTTCTATGTCTGAGCTGTGTTGGGAAAACAATATAGTCCTTTCCCTCCTTAGGTGGGTTTAGTCCTCAACGGATTCACCCTGAGGTTTTACTTCTGCAGCGCCCAGCAGCAGACATCAAACAGCGTGACCATCTACCTGAAGAACCTGGCAGCTGCAGACTACCTGATCACCCTCAGCCTCCCCTTAAGAATCAGCCACTTCTCCAGCCGCTCTGTCACCATGTTCAGAGTCTACTGCAACTTTGGTGTCTTAGCCTTCTACCTGAACATGTACGCCAGCATCCTGTTCATGGGTTACATCGCAGCAAACAGGTAGGACTTGTCAGGACGCAAAAGACATGAAGCACCTTTATTCGAATCTCTATAAAAACAGATATCTGAACGTAGAGAATTTGTAGGTAAGGGACAACACTTGCCGAGCTGGCAGCCGACGCTGAGCAAGATGGCTGGAAAGGAAGGCTCTGCCCTGTTGAGGTCAGCTGCAGAGTCTTTGTAGGCAGTTCCACCACCAGGCTCCTTAAGTACATGAAGGTTTGTGGTCAAGCCCTAATGCAAGCCATCAAAGCCAGTGCCACAGATCAGCTAGTTGTTGGCTTTGGATCAAGAGGAGGGACACTACCTGAGCTTTAAAACAACAGCCACTGCCAATAGCAGTGGTTTTATATCTCTGGTAGTGATATGAAATGGGAAAAGGGATATGAAATGAATCTTTATTCTCTGACAGATTGGTTCAATATCATTGAATTAACCACTCATCCACACTCACTAAGGGCTTAAATCTGCAATGTAAGCAACGTACCTGAAACCCCCAAATGTAATCAAGAGATCAAGATACAACCTCTTTGCTTCTTGCAGCTTCTTTAGTGCCCAGATTCTAGCAAAAGACAATCAGACACATCCTGTTACATTTTGTGCCCTGCTTTTAAGACAGTGCACTTCATGTTCATTAAAGTATGCTCCCATTTTTTGGTTGGTTTGATGACAACATCTTGATTTTTAACTGACACTAAAAGAGATCTGTGGGTTTCATTGGGTAATTTGCAGGTTTTTACATTGAAGGCAGAAGTTCTCTTTTTTCGTGTTCCAAATGGGATTTAACATTACTCTTTTGCAGCTGCTGCAGGTTTCCATGTAATGTTAAGGAGATTCTTCTTACGGGCACGTGTCGAGATGCATCAACTAACAGTCTGTAGTTTTACTTCCGGTACACAGTTTATGCTGCTTAAAGTGGACATTTTAATTTGAGACCTAAAGGGAATTTCTTGGCATTTGCAGCAAGCCAGACTCGATGAACTGTAAACTTTTGTACTTACACACAGGCTTCACTTTTTCAAAACCAGAGGTTGCTGCTTGGTAAAATCAAAATACATAAAATGAATGAAGAGAGTTATTTAGCTTCACTGCTTTAAATGTATGTTATTGGGAGGCCTGGCCCAAAGGCTAGAGAGAGGGATGCAGAGGTGACTGCTGTAGACCACACTGCAACGAGATATTTCTTTTTTTGTAATAGAAAATAATTTATTTGTAATTATCGTGTCTGGCAACAATTTTGATAAAGAGAATTCTACTGACACCGGCCTCTTCTCTCTGCAGGTATCTAAAGATCGTCCATCCTTTAGGGAATCACATCCTTCAGACAGTGGGAGCCGCCCACATCATCTCTGCGGTAACCTGGGTTCTCCTCTTGGCCATAATGACCACCTACATCACCCTGTCGTTTATCCTCACCAATACATCACTGCCATCTCTTCCAAATACATTGATCTGTGATGTTCTGCACAGTAAAAAGCTCAGCCCCTTCTACAATTTCATCGTTATCTTCACTGCAGCCGCCTTCATCATCGTGTTCGTCTCCCTCATCTTCTTCTACCACGGCACCTCCCGCAGGCTGTCAGCAGCACAGCAGAGGCAGCAGGCGTCCTCCGGCTCCAAGAAGCTCGCCAAGTCCCGCAGGAACATGTTGGTGCTGGTCAGCGTCTTCTGCGTCTGCTTCGTCCCGTACCACCTGGTCCGCCTGCCGTACGCTTTCCTGAGGAGGCAGTGCTCATGGGGGCAGGCCTTCTTCTACCTGAAGGAGCTGAGCGTCATGGTGTCTATCTTCAACGTCTGCTTGGATCCGCTCATCTATTTCATCTTCTGTAAATCCTACAGGGCCCAGCTGAGGAGAAGTGTTTGGGGACGTACACAGAGGGCTGGCTAAAAGGAGGAGCAACAAAAGTTGGATGCTCTTTAACCAGCAAAAATATGACAGAGAGGTTGTTGTGTTGTTGAACAGACATTGTGTTAACTGACATCAGTAAATTTAACATTTTCTTTCAGTATAGGTTTTAATGTGTTCAGACCATGTTACGGGATGGTATTTTTGTCTGCAGGTCGTGCTGCTCGTTGCAACTCCACTGCAGTCCTCAGGACATAATAAAGGAACACCAGCCGGTATCCTTCCTTCCAAGCCAAATCCAGAAACACCCAGCTCCACCTCAGCCAGATTCTTGAGTGCCTACCGCTTTTATAATCTTGTGACTTGGAGCTACTTGTTTTGCACCAATTGTTTTTCACTAAAACACCAAATCAAATTCCTTTTAGTTTAATGTATTGGTTTTATTGAAAAGGTATAATGATATATCATCTGTATAACAATTCAAATGTGTATAGTGTTTGATGATTGTGTGCTTTTAAAGGAGATGTATATTTTGCTGATCCATATTTAAATACATATATTTAGTGTTATGATGTTGGACGTCCATACTTAACGTCGTCAAAGTGTCCCACATGGACATAATGCTGCATTCAGGTGCTGCTCGGGTTGTCCAAGTTGGGAAGTCGTTCATCCGACTTCACTGTGTTCACGTGATTTCAGTTCAGAAAGTGATAACAGAACAAAAAAAGGGTCGATGCCAAGAAAATGATCATTGAAATGTTACTGTTAAGTTATATTTGAGCAAAAAGTTGATGTGCAATACTTGAATTAACAAAAAGTATGTTAACATTAACGAAACATATTTTGCCCTTCATGACGATGATGACGTCATGTCGGGAAGTCAGGCACCTCATTACTTTCCGAGTTGTTGTTCCGACTTCAGCAGGTGTTCAGGTGCATTTTACAACTCGGAAGCTTGTTTTTCTGATGTGTCCGACACCACATGAATGCAGCATAATTCATGGTGAAAGTGAGAATAGTAGATCTCCTCTCATGCTTTTGAAAACAAATGTTGCAGTGAATTGACTTGAATTCCAAGAAGTATTTCAATGCCCTTGGAGGTCATATTATGTAGCTTTACAGAAATAAAGGAAACACATCAGTAAATAAAAAAAGGATCAACTGTACCTAGTTCATAGGTAGGCACAACAAACACTGACACTTCCTGTAAAAGTTTTTAAAAGATTGCAATATAACAACACACTGTGACCACCAGAGGGTGATGTAATGTCATGAATATATAAACACACTGAAGTTAGTCATCTGTGCAAAAAGAATTTATGAAGACAAGAGCAGAGGGTGTTGTTTTATCATTGGACCATTTGAAGGCAGTGAATTAACATGATTGTGACTTACTGTAACGCCTCAGAATAGAATTACTTCATTGATCCCAAACTGGGAAATTGTGGCATTACAGCAGGAGGTTGTCCAAACACACAATATTAGCAAAAAACACAATATTAGCAAATTTAAACACAATATAATATTAAATACAAAGTAAATAAGCACTAAAAATATCAAAACATAGAATGAGAATATATACAACCAGGATTTAACTTAGCATTATTAGTCTTGATTAAGAAAAGATTAAATACAACATACTTTTCTGGAGGTAGTTGTAAATGGGCATAAACAGAGTTGTAAATGGACAGTATTGACATACGGAGATGTGCAATCAGTGATACATAAGTTAAAGTGCAGGAGTGTAGACATGTTATCAGCAGAAACTATTCAATATAACGGTGAGTAGACAGACAAATGAAGTGAACTTGAGTGCAGGGATAATTTGTAAATTTAACATGTGCAGAACAGATTACAGTATGGAGAGACAGATATTATCATGATGACAGTTCTCTGCTCGCATGAGGTGAGCTGTTGTACAGAGTTATGGCCTTCGGTAAGAAAGATTTCCTGTATATGTTCCATGTTACTGTATCAGTTAGAGTAGAACCTGTTGTTTCTTAGTCATTGATGATGTGCAGATGATGAAGAAATCTTTGTTGACACTGACTTGCTTGTAAAATAATTAGTTTATTTACAGAGAAGAACAGCATCAGTTCAGGCCCCTGGTTCGGCCTTTGAGAGTCACGAAGCCAATAATGATCTCTCCCAAACTTACAAGAACAGTCATATTTATGCAGAAATTACACACCCACATGCGAACATCTGCTCCCTTTTTCTGGGGGCTCAGAACAGCATCCCAGCAACACAGGGTCCAAATGCATACATCCAACTGTGGAGTATTCTGTCTTAGATTTATGTATCTCGTTAAATCAAGGGGCAACACACAGGTCTCAGATACAAACACTTTCCAGATGTGGTCTCCACACCCTGAGAGAAGTTAACCTATGTCCCAGATATTTCAGACACCTCACTACACATAGCATTGAAATAAAGGCAAATTGTCTCATTACATCTCGACTATCGTAACAGATTTTTAACCTGCCTGAACCTAAAATGTATAGATAGGCTCCAGTTGGTACTCAGCTGCCAGGCTTTTAACCAGAACCAGAAAGCATGACCACATCACTCCTGTTTCAGCATCTCTACACACATCATCATCAGATGGAAATTAGCTAGTTAGCTATATCTGGTACAAAGCATCTCTTCTCTTCTGAGACGAATGTTTTTTTTGTTCTTCGTCTCTGATTTAAATAAACTAAACTGAAACTGAAACACCAACTCCCTGTCATTACTTTTAAAGCTCTCCATGGCCTTTTCTTCCAGCTACATATCAATTGAATGGATTTTATGTCTTAAAGTGTTTGCTCTTAATCTTTGCCTTGATTTTAAATCTTTGACCTGCCTATTTTTACATTTGTAAAGACTTTGTAACTTGTTTTAGAGAGGTACTCAATAAATAAAGGTACTTGTTATTATTATTGCGTAATGCAGTGGAGTCTGTTGCTTCATCCGCCTCTTCCGCGTTGTTTTTTTTCTTGTGTAATGGAAAAATTCTGTTTACTGTCGAGGACACATTCTACTTACAGCTCGTTGATGTTGAGACTGAAGTAACTGACATTCTGGCCACTCTTCCTTTCTATCATGACTCGGATGAGTCCTCTGATGACAAGAATCATGACTTACATGGATAAGTATGACCAACTATGATGTGTCTTAAATCTTCTATGACTTAATGCTTGCCATTTTTTAACACCCGTGTAAATGAATTACCTGCAGTGCTCAGTTTGTGTGTCTGAGGGACTCTGTGATTTACTTCCATCAGAAGAGACTGATGAGATACAAAGAAGAGCTGCACCCACACACTGACCTGGTTATACACACACACACACACACACACACACACACACACACACACAAATAAGTTACAGTGTGTGACCTCCAGAGGACAGCAAAACATGCCTTTGTATTCAATTCAATTCACTGCTTCATTGGCATTCAAGTTTTAGAAACAGTTTTGCAAAAGCATTAAAAGCACACACTCATCAAACACAAACATTTGTATTGTTATACAGATGATATATTGTTATACCTAAAAGTCTCAGTTTTCAGAGGAACAGTGTGTTGCCATTTTACGTGACGATGGAGATGGTGCAGTTTTCAAAAGTTTGTTTTCTGGTAACTGTTTTCAGAACTTTGGGTTTTCAGTCATCCAAAACTCTGTTGTCATGTAAACGAACAGTTAAAACGTTACATATTCGGCTGAAATCATTGTGTGAACTCGGACTTTGTGGCATTTGGTTTTCCAATGCTTCTGGAAGAACCAGTGTTGATTGGTTTTGTGAAACCAACAATCATAGATAAAAATGATCCTGCAGTAAATACGGGGATAGATCAGGGTGAAATGCATCTGCATGAACTAGTCATCTGTCCTGACGCCTGAATGTGATCGCTACAACTTCCCTACGGCCAGACTTCCTGCTGCGGTTGATATTCTGCCAGGACGGTGGTCATGGCTGAACAAGAGGCAGGACACGTGGTTCAATTTATCAAAAATATGGTACGTTTATTACAAAAATTGATTAAAGGGCAGTTATAAAACACCAAACCCACAAGGACGTTGAGGGAAAAAGGGGGACCTTGGCAGATGCTGAGGCTTACCAACGATGAGATGGTCGACGAGGGGTGAGAGGGATTCCCAACAAAATAAAAGTGAAAAAGCGCCTCAATCACATGTGGCAGTCACTCACACACTCAACCCCATTGAAAGAAAGGCAACACAGACTCGCACAAAAAAAATAAAATAAACAAGCTTCTACCCGTTAGAGGTCAGGGGTCAGGGCTTTGTTAAAAAGGCACTCAAGAATTCCTGCAATCAGAATCAGAATTTATTGCCAAGTACAATAACATACAAGGAATTTGATTTGGTGTTTTAGTGAAAAACAATTGGTGCAAAACAAATAGCTCCAAGTCACAAGATCATAAAAGCAGTAGGCACTCAAGAATCTGGCTGAGGTGGAGCTGGGTTGAACGTGTGTCCAAGTGTCTGAGTCCTCAGTGCATAACCTGTAAGTAATCGCTTCACGCTTCAACGAGCAGCACACCTGCAGACAAAAATACCATCCTGTAACATGGTCTGAACACATTAAAACCTATACTGAAAGAAAATGTTAAATTTACTGATGTCAGTTAACACAATGTGTGTTCAACAAGACAACAACCTCTCTGTCATATTTTTGCTGGTTAAAGAGCATCCAACTTTTGTTGCTCCTCCTTTTAGCCAGCCCTCTGTGTACGTCCCCGAACACTTCTCCTCAGCTGGGCCCTGTAGGATTTACAGAAGATGAAATAGATGAGCGGATCCAAGCAGACGTTGAAGATAGACACCATGACGCTCAGCTCCTTCAGGTAGAAGAAGGCCTGCCCCCATGAGCACTGCCTCCTCAGGAAAGCGTACGGCAGGCGGACCAGGTGGTACGGGACGAAGCAGACGCAGAAGACGCTGACCAGCACCAACATGTTCCTGCGGGACTTGGCGAGCTTCTTGGAGCCGGAGGACGCCTGCTGCCTCTGCTGTGCTGCTGACAGCCTGCGGGAGGTGCCGTGGTAGAAGAAGATGAGGGAGACGAACACGATGATGAAGATGGCCACAGACCAGGTTTGGATGCCTTTGTAGAAGAGGCTGAGCGTTTTACTGTGCAGAACGTCACAGTCTAATGTATTTGGGAAAGATGGCAGTGATTTTCAGTGAGGAGCGACAGGGTGATGTAGGTGGTCATTAAGGCCAGGAGGAAAACCCAGGTTACCGTTGAGATGATGTGGGCGGCTCCCACTGTCTGAAGGATGTGATTCCCTAAAGGATGGACGATCTTTAGATACCTGCAGAGAGAAGAGGCCGGTGTCAGTAGATTACTCATAATCATCACTGTTGTCAGACACAAAGAACTGGCACAGAGGGAGGGGAACACTAGGGATGTTCTCAAAATCAACTTTTTCATACTATTGTAGTATGTAGTATGTACTGCAAACTACGTTCAACAGTAGTATGTAGTACGACAGACAACCGGTAGATATTTTGCAGTATGCCAGGCCCGGCTGAGCTGGTTTCTGGTCTTGTAATAGGAAAGTCAACAACAGCCCAGCTGATGTCAAACGCTGCTACAGCGTAGCATCCTGAGAAAAACTGAGGAGTGATTCATTTAGATTTTCATGATTCTGAGAATCAAAAAATATAATTGGTGGTATCTTTGTGTGGTTTGGTCTGATTTCCTCTTTTACTTTGGACGTTGCTGTCTGTCATTTCAATCTCTGACCTGGCACTTTGAATTGTGGGAATAAGTGCGCGAGGGAGACTGGTCTATTCTGTCCATTTTTTACAGAATCAGTACAACATCCGGGTATTGTTGGCATACTGTGGATCTCGCATCTTGTTCACAAACTACATAATGCATTTTAGCCAAATGAGTACGAACTTCTAGTATAGCAAGCAGTTTTTGAAAACAGCCAGAGATTAAGTGCTCAAGGGGAGTGGAGACTGCTAGGCACAGGTGAGACACAACAGGTAATCACAGATGCCGCAGACACAGGAGGGAGGGAAGGAAGCAAGGGATCTGAAACGAGACAGTAAAACAGGAAACACAAGACATGAAACATGAGGGAAACAAAAAAAAAGGAACTTTACTCTCCTGGAGACGTGCCATGTTGTTCATATTTACAAGTTAATGGTTTTAATAGAGATGTTTATCTTTTAGGGTTAGAAATTGAATTCTGAATTATTTCTCAGCATCGGGGTAACATCTTCCACATGTTGGCAACTGGTCTCCCTGAACTCAGACCTGCTGCTGCATCCAGGTAAGAGCTTATCATAAATGAATATAATAACCTATCAACATGTAGTTAGAGTTCAGGTCTGTGCAATGTGTGGCCTTATGTTTCTTTGAACATATGTTGAACTAAAACATCATCACTTTCTGAGCACAACCACAAGAACCACACATCTTTATTCTGAAACGAAAAACCTGCTGCAGCTGAAACTATTTATTAATAGTCTTTAGTCAGTGTATAGTTCAGTGTCAATGCATGCCCAGAGTTCAGTCTGATCTTGTTTTTCTGTGTCATGCATTCTGTGTCGCAAGACAACCAGCCACATTCACACTTACAGACAATTAAGAGTCACCTTTTGAACTAATGAGCATGTCTTTAGACTGTGGGAGGAAGCGGGAGTACCCAGAGGAAGGAGAACAGACTCCACACAGAAAGACCCGGTCGGACGGGGGATTCCAACCAGGAACCTCCACGCTGTGAGGAAACAGCATGCCTCCACACTAAACCCTTCGAGTAAACTAGTTAGGTTCTAACTTACATTGTGTCATTGTTTGGTTACCACAGAGACGTAAAGTTTATCTTAACTAGTAGAGCGTGACGTCCAAACTAACCAAAACTTTGTTGTGGATATAAGGTCTTAACTTGATGTGACCAATCAGTGAGCAGCAATTTTCTTCATGTAGTGTTTGTTCCAGTGTTTCCTCTCTTGTCTGATCGTCTCTGAAGAGACTCACAGCTGAAAATAACTTCTCTTAAAGGGATACTTCACCTGTTAAAACATGAATCTGTATTGACATTGGGTCATATATGTAGAAATGTGAAATACATTTTGAAGTTGGTGCCTTCTTGGACGTGAAAAGGCAGAAAGTGTCTTTTTGGCTCATGTGGATGAAAGACACCAAATCCCAGAATGCACAGCACCGCAGGCCACTCCCACTAAGGTCAGTTTTACAGACATTTACTTCAACACATACGGCCATTTCCTCAACTGATTCAGAGATTTCTTCCAGAATTGATCTTGTAAATTCCTGTCAGAAAACAGACTCTATGTCTGTGTCCAGAGACAAACAGTGAGAGCACCGACCCTACCAGTCCGCCCCAGCTCGAGCCGGCCCCAGTTCCTTTCCTCACTGCCGCCAATAGGCAGGCATTATGTCTCGGCTGCTGAGATGGCAGCGGCCGTCTCAGCAATATAGTAATATAGCCACAAGACAGTTGCTGCTGACAGGCTGGTTTTGTTTCTCGGCTAACAGCTATGATTTTGCGTTATCGGAGATTTAAGGTGTAACTTCTGCCTACGTTGAAACTATCTCAGCTGGTGACACCTTAAATGTTAGTAGAGTGTAAACTACGTCTTAAATTAGAAATTACGTTCAGGGTTAGAGGACTAGAGTAGACTACGACAGAAGTTACACAAGGCTGGTGCAGGTACTGGTCGATAACAAGCCAGTCTATGAACCAATCTGCTATCGGCTTAACAAATTTAGTTTATGGGCAGACCAACACACATTTTTGGCCCCAGGTTTGGCCTCCAGATATCCAGGACCAAGACCTAAGTATACCTCAACCATTAATCATTTACAGTCTGACTTAAAGTTTAGAAGTAACATGGTGTTGAGAAACAACGTCTGTGATCAGTATTTGATCCGCTCACATTTGCATTTGTCTGTTTTAGAGATTATTAGAAAGCTAATCCATAATCAGACCAAAGCTAATGGCTCCTGGATTGCATCTTTTGAATAAGCTAAACTAAAATAAGTCACTCCATCTTGTTGAGGTTCTGTCTGTTCCTACCTGTTTGCTGCGATGTAACCCATGAACAGGATGCTGGCGTACATGTTCAAGTAGAAGGCAGTGGAGCCAAAGTTGCAGTAGACCCTGAACACGGTGATAGAGCGGCTGGCAAAATGGCCGATTCTGACGGGGAGGCTGAGGGTCATCAGGAAGTCTGCAGCTGCCAGGTTCTTCAGGTAGATGGTCACGTTGCTAGACGCCTGCTGGTGAGCGCTGAAGAAGTAAACCTTCAGGGTGAATCCGTTGAGGACTAAACCCACCTAAGGAGGGAAAGGCTCAGATGATGTACCAAAAAAAAAAATCAGAATGCTTTCTGCTTTCAGGAGACAGAACCTGAGTGACTCACCAGAAACACCAGACTGTAGACCAGCATGTAGAAAATGTGTGCAGAGTTGTCGACTTGATTGCAGAGAGATGAGCTGTTGGTGTTCATCTGGTCAGATGCTGAGGACAGATTAAAGGATGGGGGATCTCCGATTCTTTCAAGGTTTGTCATGTTTCTGGATGTTGTGGGAGAGTTGAAACATCAACATTCAGATGTCATCAGTCTGTATACAGGAAGTGGTTAAAACTGAAAAGGAAAAGATGGGTAACCTGCCCACTGACTGCAGATGGAATCTAACTAATCAGCTTAATCTGGTGCAGTGCATCTCCTGTTATTAAGTGAGATGAATGATGTTCTACATGGTTCCTGATAAGCTAAACAATAAACTAAACTACAACAGCAGCAGAGTAAACATATATAGAACAGAAACACAGGGGAAGTAAAATTACAAATTAAATAGTTCAACAATATGTGTTCTTTCAGAGTCAGGAAGAAACCTCTGAGGGAGGGGAGCTTTTTATCTTGATCATAAGAACATGTATTAGATTTTATTCTTTGGTTCATTTTCTTAATTCTGAAAATAATAATGTAATTTAAATATGTATGTTATAATGTTTGCAATTGAAGAAAACATTAAAATGTGTTTGCATCATTGTGATGCTAACTTTTAACAGTGAACAGCTCTCACTGTCTTTTTCTCTAAATATTAAAGGAGCAATACGTAACTGTGGCACCTAGTTTTTACAATGGAGTCCAGATTCTAAACATTGTAGAGAGCTGCCCCCCGTCCCCCCCCCCCAGAGTCGATGCTCACATAGGTTGCCATGTGGTGAACACTGCTCAATTCAAAAGTATCTCTCACTGCTAATTATTTACAATAATAGTTCCCATTCACATTTATGATAGTAAAGAAAACCCTAAAGTAAAGTGAAGGAGTCTCATATTGATCATGTGTATCATTGAAAATGTGAAAACAACTAAACTGAAGTTACAAAAACATCCCAATCGTAAAAAAACACAATCTCCTTTTCCTCTTATATCCAACTTCAGTGGTGACATACAATGTTTCTATGATGGATGTTTAACCGATATCTAACATAAGGGTTGTAGAATAGTAAAGAAGCGAGTTACCTTCAGCGCTCACCTGTCCGCGAGTCAGTTTGAGTGTCTGTCTTCTTTCTCGATGCTCACTGCAGTAAGATCTGAAGAGAGGCAGAGGAAGGAAGAAGAGCTGCCCGACCACTATTGATGTCACAAATGTGCCAATTATGTACATCACTGTCACACACACACACACACACACACACACACACACACACACACACACACACACATACCAAATAGGAAGTCACTCGCGACTGCTACAGTCTTGTGCACATACTTAAACGGCTGCATTAAGTTTTCTGTTCTCCAGTATGCTCTACCCAAATCGTTGAACTACACATAGCATTGAAATAAAGGCAAATTGTCTCATTACATCTCGACTATCGTAACAGCCTTTTAACCTGCCTGAACCTAAAATGTATAGATAGGCTCCAGTTGGTACTCAGCTGCCAGGCTTTTAACCAGAACCAGAAAGCATGACCACATCACTCCTGTTTCAGCATCTCTACACACATCATCATCAGATGGAAATTAGCTAGTTAGCTAAATCTGGTACAAAGCATCTCTTCTCTTCTGAGACGAATGTTTTTTTTGTTCATAGTCTCTGATTTAAATAAACTAAACTGAAACTGAAACACCAACTCCCTGTCATTACTTTTAAAGCTCTCCATGGCCTTTTCTTCCAGCTACATATCAATTGAATGGATTTTATGTCTTAAAGTGTTTGCTCTTAATCTTTGCCTTGATTTTAAATCTTTGACCTGCCTATTTTTACATTTGTAAAGACTTTGTAACTTGTTTTAGAGAGGTACTCAATAAATAAAGGTACTTATTGCTACTTAAAGGGTATTGTTATTGCGTAATGAAGTCTGTTTCTTCATCCGCCTCTTCCGCATTGTTTTTTTTCTTACCTTAGAGTTGGTAAATGTGTAACAAAACCAAGTTATATAGGTGTACAAGTACACACACACACACACACACACACACACACACACACACACACACACACACACACACACACACACAGATACAGAGCGTTTAAAGTGTGTCCAAGAGAGCACCCCAAAAATGTTCCTTATTTGCCGACTCATCCCCAGTTGGTGAATGTGTAATCAAACCAAAGTCCCCAGTTAGGTAGGTAAAGAAGTACACATACAAACACACACGCACACACACACACACACACACACACACACACACACACACACACACACACACACACACACACACACACACACACACGCAAACAAATAAATGTAAAAGGTTGTCATTGCTCGTAATCTAAAGCTTTTTTTAGAGTCATCAAATATCAACATTACATGAATTCTGCCATTAAAGACTTAATCAGAAGTATGTTGCGTTTTAATTAATGGTCTTGAAAAGTCTGCCACAGTGGTTGTCAACTGGTGGGGCGAGACCCAAAAGTGAGTCGCGGAGCCATTTTCAGTGGGTCTCAAAAGATTGCTCCAAAAAGTCTATGAGGTGCTTTTTTTATCATATTTGTTTTTCGTCTATTTCTTTGTTCTGTCAGATTTTTTGTATTATTTGAGGTCCAAACTGCATACATTTTTCATAATGAATGAATAAATATGATTGGTTTGGGTCCCGATTTTCATGAGGGTAGACCAGTTGAGATCCAGTCAGTGGTCTATAATGACTGGAAGCAGGTGGAAGTATTGTTTACAACTTGAAGCTGTGGAGGCTGATTGATATATAGGGAAAATGTTTTATTGAAGAACATATTTACCACAAATAAAGTGAAGCTGTGTACTTAAGACATTTTTTTTTAAAGTTAAACAAACAAACAAACTCTGGACTGATACATTAAACACTCCACCAGAAATGTTCACTTATCACATAACTGCTGTTATTATCATGTGTTTACACTGCCCTCTGGTGGTGAGACAGATTACTTACAACTCTGCTGTTTAGTGACACACTGTGACCACTAGAGGGCACTGCAAACATTTATTCTTTAGACTGGGCAGGAGTTTGCATTAACATTTTTATGTTCTTTAAATTGTGACTTTAAAGTCTTTATCTGTGATTTTTCTCACTTAAATGTAGAAATCAAGTCTATCCTCTGAAAATAACTCTGTGAGTCATGACTGTCTACAATGGGTGTAACACCCGAGTCCCACTGTCTGTGATGTTTTCAGAGTTTTCAGAGTCCTATCTTCACTTTGTTTACATCGCCCGGACGGCCGGCTGACTCCTCCCCTCGTGTATAAAAGTTGTTTAATTGAGGGACTAGAGAAAAGAAGAATAACATACTGTACTCACTGCTTAACTGTGTTTCTAGATCACGCTCATTTCGCTAGCATTAGCATGCTAACACAACAATGCAGTACGAGTTGTTTTGGTTTCATGCTGGCGACATCTGCTGGATGAAAAAATATATAAAGCCTTTAACATGAATCTTCTTTTTGGGATATGATAGATATGATTAGTGAGGTTAGAGAGGGTAGATATTTAATATTTATTTATGCACACATCAAACTTCTGGCCACCCCTCCTCACAGTGAATTATTGCCCCAGTCAAAAAAGTCTGGACATGCCCCTGCTTCAGTGGTCCCAGTACTGCACTGCAACATGTGTGTAGTTACAAGGGTAGACCATTAGAGGGCAGTGAGGAGCCAGCAATACAGACATGCTGCCTCCTTTTGTCATAAAAGATACAGAGCAAACTAATTTTAACCTCATTAATAGATATGCTACAGGTTACTCTTCTGTCTTTGTCACCTGCGTGATGTGGGGTTAATTAAGCACCTGAGGGTTGAACAGCGCAGTGAGAGGGAGGACTCGTGACCCAATCAGCTGATTTTACTTAAAGAGGCTGGCAGTATCGTGATAACTTTGGAGTAAAAATGAACACAGCAGCAAAGTCTGGTCTGGCAGGTTTGATGCCAAGTCATCAGAGTTTAGTTTCACTTCCATGTGAGAGCTTCTTTTCCTTTTTTCTTCCTTACCTTTACATCCTTTATTTCCTTAAGCAAAGACAAACAGAAATAAAGCCAATCCTACATTTTGTAAAGAACGTTATGAAAGAAAAGAAAGACCTGACTATATTTTTGATGTATTTTGAGGTCTAAATGACTTATAGATACAAAGGAGTTGGACTTGCGGATTGAGGCAGGAGTGGTTGCAAAGTCAACATGTCAACCAAAAATGTTCAGATTGTGTCTGACAAAATTATGAAATACTGAAATGATCACCACAGAGGGTTTGATAAAAGAGGATTTCTTTTAACCACAAACAGCTGTTACATCATGACACCAGACTCCACTGATAAAACCAACAATTTTAGCCAAAAGAAAATAAAGTTGCTCGTTTCATCACAAGCTCCAAAAAAGATTTCATTTTTATCGCAGCCACTGAAGCAATCTCAAAACTTTTCTTTACCTTCAGTCATTAAGGGCTCAGTTGAAAAATATCAAGGAACTAAATTACATTATTTATTTACAATTTTCACAGTAATGACACGACTACACAAGAACGAGAAATGGTGAAAATGCAAAATACTTTTGACCAAAATTCACATCTGAGTCCGTAAATTGAAATATAGATTTGATCTGCATCCCAAAGAAGACGCACAGAGGCGGTACAATCAGGGCAAACTGTTATGATTGATTTCATCTTTAAACTTTACATACGGTTTTATAGTGTAGATACAGTCTAGTTATTAAAAGGTATTTTGTCCTCCTGTGTTTCCTCTCCGTCTCGTCTCCTCTCCACGTCTCCTGACCTTGTTTCCTCTCCTAAATAAATCCGACTCAGACTCTGGCTCTGGGCGGTCGTTGGGGATCTCTTCCTCTCTCTCCCGGACAGCTTCCTTATCAGAGACTCTCTGAAGGTTTGGCACATCAGGACGTAGATGATGGGGTCCAGGCAGACATTGATCGCCGACAGGAAGAGCATCCCCTCCTTCAGCTGGAACAACAGGAAACGAGAGTGATAACTGAAGCCGGACTTGGGCATCTGGCTCATGGTGTATGGCACGCGGCAGACGTGGTACGGCACAAAGCAGATGAAGAACACCAGCAGGAGGCTGAAGATGCTGCGGTGTACCTTGTGGCACACTTTGCTGTTGATGTTGTTGCAGCGCACGCGGCGGTACGACTGGTAGACCCGGCAGGCAATGGAGGTGTAGCAGAAGGCGAGGACCAGCAGGGTCACCCAGAACAAGCTTGTGCAGAAGAGAGTCGACGCCTGGTGCCACTGAATCCCCAGCGGCGTCTTCAGCTCCATGCACTTCCTCGAGTTTGTCTCGTTGGCAGGCTGGCTGGTCAGCAGGACATTGGGCAGGACGCCAAGGAGGAGGAGGCTCCAGGTGAGGAACGCCAGCGAGCGAGCAAATCCGACACTCTGCAGGAGGTGTGGCAACGATACCCGGGGAAATCTGGCCCCGCAGGAGGGAGAGGCGGCGGTGGAGGAGGCGTGTCCAAACATCCTGACGTAGCGCTCCAGGCTGATGAAGCCCATGAGAAGGATCCCCACATACATGGAGGAGTAGAACAGCACAGAGGTGTAGCGGCAGATGACCACATGGAGGCGCCAGCCACCCAGACCCAGCTGAGCCGCCATCTTGAAGGGGAAGGTGGAGAGCATGAGTAAGTCGGCCACCACCATGTTCTTTAGGTAGACCACCAGGCCCGAGTCGGTGGGCAGTCGGACGAAGATGGAGGCGGCCAAGCAGTTCATGAAAAACCCAACGATCCAGATCACAAAGTAGAGCGGCGGGAGGACGTCATTGGTGAAGATGCTGCTCAAGTCCGATTGGTTGGTGGAGTTGAGGTGAGCCATCCCTGGAAAGAAACGAACAACAAAAGAACAATAAATTATATACAGAAAAATCAATTTTTAGACAGAAGTACGTTCAACTCTGTTACAGTAGGTGGCGATATGCCCCCTGCTTGACCTTTTATGTCCAGACAAAACAATCAACAACCGCCATTTAGTGTTTTCCTTCCATCCGTGTATTTCAATGTGTTGCACCTGATACAACATAAACTGTCTCTTCGACTAGCCGGCACCCTCAAGCACACGCCATGTTGATTCTTCTACTCCATTGCCTGCTAGGTCACTTTGGGTCACATTGAGGTGTATACATGCGAGGGTTAATCGAACCCCAAGCGCATTAT